GCAATGGAAGAAAAAAGGTCTAAATAGAATTTAGTATATAGTTAAAATTATCATTTCTTTATTATCGCTTTAATATGATATATCGCTTTAATATGTATATCGCTTTAATATATCGCTTTAATATGATTTTTCTCTTAAGAAATATTTAAATTAGTAATTTTTTATATAAGTTTATATGAATAATGCAAATTATTTTTATATTTCTGAGGATTGTTCAAAAATATTATTTTTATATAGCATATCAGAAGAGCACGAAATTAATTATATTTTTAAAGTTAAAAATTCTTATTAAGTACATCAATTGTTTTGTTATTTATGATAATATTAACTCTTAAAATTAATTTGTACACAGGTTTAATGTTTCAAAAATATAGGAGTGCTTTTATTTTATGAAATTTGAGATGGTTACTGATGTATGATGATATATGACTATCATATCAGGTTACTAGTCACTAGTGAAGTGTAATAATGTAATGTAAGAAAAAAAGAATTTTATCAAAAAAAGAATGAAATTCAATTGTGAAAAATAGTAATTTCTAATACAAAGCAGGAAATTTACCTAATGCCAAAGGTCAAAGCATTAGTTGTGCCAAAGGTCAAAGCATTAGCTTCTTGTAACCAGATAGGCGACTTTGAAAAATTCTTCTAGAGAGAAAGGGCGGGGTTACAAATGAATAAAAAGTTAGTCAACGGTGTGGGAGATACTAAAAATTTTGAATAAATAATAATTGTAATCACTTTTCATCATGAATACTAGATTTATTTTTCTTTCAAGCTTCAGAAATTCCAGTTGCTAGATGGCTCCTAAAGTTTGATAATAAATTTAAAAAAACGAACATATTTAGATATTTCCTTTTATTTTATCTTTTTATCATAAACGGGTATAATTACAATCAAGATTTTTCATATTTTTTACATATGCTGCGATTAGAGGTCTGTAAAATCTCATTCACGGGATCCCGTAAGGGATTTCTTCAAAAGATCTAACGGGACAGAATCCAGCGGGATTAATTCCTAAATCCCGTTCATCGCGTATATCACGGGATTTCGGGACAGGATCACGTAAAATCAGTACGGGATGCTGTACCGTACCGACCTCTAGTTCCGATTAGCCTATTTTCTGAAACATATATTATGTTATAGAGCTTTATGTCACATATTGAACACACATTTATTTTTATGTAATGCCCTTTTGATCAATTTATTATTCATTAGTTGAGTTTGCATGGGTTTAATTTATTAATAGATTACAACCTTAATTTAGACTATCTTTTCAAATATAACCTTTTCAAGAATATGTAGAGTATTGTCAATAGAAGCTTTAATTTGCGCAACCTATTCGTATATTTAATTTATTTAGAGTGATTTAAGATGAATAATTTTATTCATAAGTTATTTGTTACAAAATGTCTTTTGATTTAAAATATTTTATATCTCAAAAAATGTTGGTAGGTGATTGAAAATGAATGGTCCCAGTCTGATCTTTTAGTATCGCTATTGATCTGGTATATATTCCTTGCCTCACGCAAGTAGACCTTGGTTATATATGATGTTCAGTATGAACAGCATTTTTTGTTTAATTTTACAAAATAGTTTGAATGGGAGTAATAAGTAACCATAAACAAAAATGTTTTTCTTATCATAAATGTTTCAGGATAAAATTAATTTTAAGCAAAAATCAGATCACAAATTATTAATAAATTTACATGCTGTTGAAGTAAAGGATTAGCATTCAATAATTCAATTCCTTCTATAAATTGACTGAATATTTGTTGTTTATGTTGAAATTCTTGAGCTTTTTCTATCTAAAAAATATTTAATTAGGCAACTAACTAGGTCGAATTAAAATTGGAAGCAGATTTGAAGTTAGGAAATGAAAAAAATTAAAATAAAAATGTTCAGGGTTTCTTAGTGGATAGCAAATCAAATGATTCTAGTTGGATTATAATAACATATTAGGATAATCCCTTATATTTTTATTCGCCTGTATTCTTCATTACATAAATCAATGAACAAAAGCAATTAACATAATTTCACATAATCACAAAACTTCTGGGACACTTAATATATTGGGATTATCATTTTTAAAATGAATCAATATGGATAACCATGAAGATCTAGTAAAATTGTCACGTTCAAATTCCTTGTATAATTTCAAACGATTAGTCTTAGAAATAATCTCATTATTAAAAGCATTAATATCGGTCAATTGTTGAAAAGCTTTTGGGCTATAACAAGAATTTTTAGTTTTTTACTATAGTTATAATTACCAACGATAGAATATTTAATTAATCCTCAAATGTACATATAAACCACTTTAGAAAATAATTTATAATTATGATTCTAACCAGATCATGCCGTATTTGACGTGTTATTCGATGCTGCCGTTTACGATTTATTAAATTAATTAACTCCCCATATTCCAAATCAAGCTGAGCAGGCTGCAATTACATTATTGTATAATTGAAACTATGTATGAAAAGTAGTGTAAGTTAGTGTTCTCCAAAATTCTCATTTTATTAAAGTTTACATTCGAATGAGATGAATGCGCCGAAAATTTCATAGCCGCAAGTGTCATGACCGCAGGTGTCAAAATAGGAGCGAGTTGCAAGTGTCGGAGACGCAGATGTATACAATCGCAATACCACCCCACCACAAAGAATAACAATCCCCGTAGATATCCCACCTGTTCCAACCCGAATATCACCCTGCTGCATTGTACATCAAATTGTCGAACTTGTAACAGCTATTCAAAGATTTTTATATAAAACAATTTAAAATCATTAATTTTAATTTAAGTTATTTAGTTATTTATAAAATAAATTAAGTCACTCAATTATAAATACCATTTCAAAAATCGGATTAGCAAATTTAAGAAAATGATCTTAGGGACTTTATGAATCTTTCGCCTTTAGTGATTCTCAATTAGTAGAAGTTATTTATTATGCTGTGTTTACATAGAAAGCGTCTCGCGTTTTGCGGCAAAAACAGCATTGGGAATGAAGAGACGCGATTTTGTCTCTAATTCTTTTGAATACTATTTCTTGTCGCAAAACACAAGATGCTTTTTATGTCAACAACGCATTAGAGGGTAATTTCAGTAATTTTCGGTGATAATATAAATATATTATAAACAAATTTATAAATTATGTAAAGAAATTTACTTCAGCTTGTGTTATTCCTGGAGCCGATGTATATTGATTTTCAATAGTTCGGACTTCATCTACCTGAAATTATGTCATAAATTTTTAATCAGTAAAAAAGAAATATGGCAAATAAATCTTTGATTAAATCTTTGGCGTATCCAAAATATGTAAGTCAGAAAATCTTAAAATAAAATACTTTTCCACATTTTCCGAATACTATCAAAGATTTTTTAATAACAAGTTATGCATTTTTAGTAATAATAAATTTAACCAGATTTTGCAACTCATTTACATTTCCTTCTTGGCCATACGTAATTAAATGGTTATTTAAACTTTGTAATGCAGTTTGAAGCGCCTCATTTGCATTTGGCTATAAAAATTATTTGAAAGATATTAATGTGAAAATAGATTATATTAGGTAAATGTTCTGATTTATCTAAATCAAGCAACTAATTAATTCCATAATACTTTATCAGGAAAAGTATAGTAACAATTAAATTAAAAAGCCTGTGGTCTGCAAGGATGATTCACCTAATCATTTAAAACGCTTACATGGGGGTTAAACGATCTAAAAAGGGAAAATATAAAGCAATAGTCGATGCCTCGGTAGCTCATAAATCGTAAACGGCAGCATCGAATAACACGTCAAATACGGCATGATCTGGTTAGAATCATAATTATAAATTATTTTCTAAAGTGGTTTATATGTACATTTGAGGATTAATTAAATATTCTATCGTTGGTAATTATAACTATAGTAAAAAACTAAAAATTCTTGTTATAGCCCAAAAGCTTTTCAACAATTGACCGATATTAATGCTTTTAATAATGAGATTATTTCTAAGACTAATCGTTTGAAATTATACAAGGAATTTGAACGTGACAATTTTACTAGATCTTCATGGTTATCCATATTGATTCATTTTAAAAATGATAATCCCAATATATTAAGTGTCCCAGAAGTTTTGTGATTATGTGAAATTATGTTAATTGCTTTTGTTCATTGATTTATGTAATGAAGAATACAGGCGAATAAAAATATAAGGGATTATCCTAATATGTTATTATAATCCAACTAGAATCATTTGATTTGCTATCCACTAAGAAACCCTGAACATTTTTATTTTAATTTTTTTCATTTCCTAACTTCAAATCTGCTTCCAATTTTAATTCGACCTAGTTAGTTGCCTAATTAAATATTTTTTAGATAGAAAAAGCTCAAGAATTTCAACATAAACAACAAATATTCAGTCAATTTATAGAAGGAATTGAATTATTGAATGCTAATCCTTTACTTCAACAGCATGTAAATTTATTAATAATTTGTGATCTGATTTTTGCTTAAAATTAATTTTATCCTGAAACATTTATGATAAGAAAAACATTTTTGTTTATGGTTACTTATTACTCCCATTCAAACTATTTTGTAAAATTAAACAAAAAATGCTGTTCATACTGAACATCATATATAACCAAGGTCTACTTGCGTGAGGCAAGGAATATATACCAGATCAATAGCGATACTAAAAGATCAGACTCAGATAAGTTCAATTTTTTTCAAAAGCGGGTAAAATCTTAATTTGTAAAGGCGAACTAATAATTGCTTGCCCGCTTATAACTTATTGCATGTCTTAAGAATTAAGAATTCCATTGATGTCTCTTTTTTTAATTTCAAATTGAAAATTTTAAAATTTTTATATGAGTTAACTAGCCTTTCCAAATATGCAAAACTTTACCTATGTACTAGGTCATAAATCGGCAAAGTTATAAGCTTGCGTTTAAAGGCTGTTTGGCCTAACCGTTATGTGTATGGATTAACACGAAACTCTTTGCCAAATGGATTAACACGATGGATTAACACGAAACTCTTTGCCAAAATTCTTTTGTACGTGATACCTGATCAGATAAGGTCAATTTTTCAAAAACAGGCATAGATTTAGCTATAACAACAAGTAAAAGTCTGTCAACAAGAACACATTTTTGAGCTCTACTATTAAATAATCCTTCACGTTGTACTGAAGATTCCCAACTATTTAATTCGTCAAAAGGTATTGGAATTGGATTTGGCTTTAAATCAAAATTTTATTGAAATTTAAATTAAAATTTACCGAGAAATTCCCAGTTAAACGAAAAATATTAAAATCAGATAAAATTATTTCTTCAAACAAAATCGGGCCATTAAGGAATATATCATCCAAATCATTAAATGCATGCATAATACGTTTTTTGGCTTCAATAATTGGTAAAATTGAGTTTATTAGGTTTTGGTTATGTCGACAGTTGGGGAATTTAGTATCTTAAAAATAAAGAGAATTTTAATTCTTGTTTTTTGCTCCTTTGGGTATTCCTTGGTAAAACTTTGAAATTAGCTAAAGATGATAGATGTTTTTCTTTTAATTTCGATAATTTGAACTTTTTCAATATTCGATCTTCAAAGATTTTGTTCAAACCTAGTCTACAGTAACTGTTTTCCAATTCTGTATAAAATAAATAAGCTTACTTTAATTTCCTTTTTTTGGTTTTCCATCGCTTCCTCGTATATATCATTACGTAAATATCTAACTTCTAAAATACTTTTATTAAATTCCCGCATTTATTCTGATAGTGCGACTGTCTCTATTAGACCGACCTCATCTATTAAACTGACCCTCTTACTTCCAGTGTTAATGTTGTGTTTTTTTATCTAGAGTTGGCTGGTATCGGGATCCCGACCGGTATCGTGCGATATTATACCGGTTTTTTGAATCGCGATACCGATTTTTTGATACCAACACCGAAATACAAATCCCAATACCGTTTTTGATAATAACAAGGCCGATATCGGTATCTGGATTAGCGTCGGATAACGATGAAAATCGGTTTTGGCGTAAATATTAGTAAAGACTGGTGAACAAAATAGGAGAGAATAGGGTGAGGGTGAGGCGGCGTAAGATTAGAAAGAGAAATTGGATGCAAAAATAACCAAATTGGTCTAAAATTAGGTAAAAAGCAGGTTTTTATTGAGGGACGACAAAAAGAATATCGGTGGATTTGTTGGGATATCAAAAGATATAAGGGGGTTTAAGCGATTAAGGTGATTAAGGTATATAGATTTAGAGTGAATAAGTAACCTAGGCACTAGAGATTTGCTGAAATCAGGGATGTCCGCAATTGAAAAAAATATTCTGAAGCCGCAATTTTAATTTTAAATTCCGCGCCGCAATCCGCAATCTAGGGATATAAAACTAGTCAGGAAAAATAAAGGATTTGAAGTATTAGGGAAGCTTTCTTTTAATATCAGTGATTTAGAGGAATATAGAAGATTAGGAGTTTGAAAGGATTGAGAGAGATATAATGAGATTTGTAAGGATAATATGGGATAACAGAGAATTAAGCCTGGGAAAGGGCATTCCCGGTTTTCCCGTCAGGTTCCCTCCCGGTCAACCTTCAGAACCCGATTCCCGGTTCCCGGACCAGGTTTCTTTTTCAAAATTCCGATCTCTAGTTTATACCTCAGTTGAATCCTCATGAAGGTACATAATTTGAAAACTAAAATTTTACAAAATTTAAATAAAATAAAAATCAATTTATATGTAGTTAGATATTAGTTGTTTTGTTTAAATTAATAAATATTATCTAATAGGTATGGAAGAAGAATTCGATATTAGTTTTGCTATAAATTAGCTAAATTAATTACTAACGTTCAAATATTAAAAAATGCAATTAATATATTTTGGTGAATAGAAGGTAATAGATGTATAAGTTCTTTAAAAAATAAAACTATAAGAAATAAGAAACCAATTTTCAACACTTTGTTTGATCTGTACCCTTAACATTATATTTCTCAAAGTTACATTTGTTTAGTTTTACATTTTTTATATTTTAATATTTTTTCAATAACTAATATGGATTGTTATTTAAATTATTTAATTTATTTTTTTAAACAATACTTTACTTTGATACATTCAGTATATTTAAGTCTTTTCTTTTGAATTCTTTTTCTTTTTAAAAATTTCAACTGTTTTGTCTTTTAATTACTGATCAAAATTTATCGTATTGAAAGTCCAATTTTAATTTTATGGTAATTAAAGATTTGTAGATTTGTCGACTTGCAGCTGATTTATACTCATTAAATTTTTATATATTTGAAAGATCTTTTCAATATTTTTTTCATTTATTACAAAATATCAGTTATTACACAGATCAGTCAATTTATTTACCATATTTTATTTAATAATATTTCTCTCAATTATTAGTTATTAGAATCTATTTTTACTTCTCATATAATATATTTACATAGTGAAATCTTAAAAGTAAATATATCTTTATAAATTAGTATACAAATTTAATCATAAAGCAAATCCATGTTGTTTCTATTAGCATTAACTCTAAATTTATCAATAACATTTAAAATATCTTTAATATTTATTTTAATTAAAATTGCTATCAAATAATTTTTATTTTAATAAATTACTTGACGCTCAATTTGAGAAAAATTTAAAACCCATAAATTAGTATGATGATATTTATTATGAACCAACATAAAACTTTTATGCTGCTATGGGTATTTCTATATATGTAGTTACTCTTAAATTACTCCTAATATAATATACTCTTAAATAATTTACACTTAAATTATCTCTCTCGAAATAAATGTTGAGTTGAAACTTATTTAAATTAGTGTAAATTATTGGACATAATCAAAAAAACATATTTGTCAATAATTTTTTAGTGAGTTTGACCGTCTTCTTTTTAACTAATTCAATTTGGCAAGCCATTGTCGGTTCACCAATTTCTATTTAAAATTTTATCTGGGTAAATTTTATAATAAATCTTTATTTTTTATAGTCAATATTATTCGGATATTATCTGACTTTATTTTAAGTTTTATTGATTAATATTCTTTGCAATTCCAAATTGATAATGTTATACAATTAAAAGTTATAATATCCAATTCGTTTTTAATATTCGGCGTTTTTGTATGATTATTTACTAAATCCTAAGAAAGGCTAAAACTTTATTTAGAGAAATACTAAAACTTTTTAAAGAAATACTAAAACTTTATTTAAATAATTTTCTATAACTCGATGTTCAAATAGTTTAGTGGTTTAGAAGGTAAATTTTGCCCTGGTGGTGTGATGTAAATCTATTAATCGATTGCGACGTATCGGAAGGCTTAATGAAGATTTGGACGCTATCCTTATTATAAGTAGAATTGAATTGGTTTCGGCATATTTTTCAACCTTTGAATAAAATTTTATGAAAATATAATATAAATTAATAGATTAAATCTAAAATTAATTAAAATAGCATGTGGATTATAAAAATAATTTTTCAAATATAAAGATTTATCAATTGAATAAGTCAATAATTTTGTTTACTAAAAGGATTTTGTTACACACTTAAAGATTTTATCTAACATTCTATCCATTATGTCTTTAAAGATTGTTTTAAATTTCTCTTGTATGACTTGTTGCCAGACAAAATAAACTATGTATATTTGATGTTATCAATTGGGCTGTCTTTAATTGGGCTGTCTTGTGTTCTTTTTTTATTTTTATGATAAATTTATAAAATAAATTTTGATAAATAAATTTTAGCCTTTTGCTTCAATCGCTGACAATTTTCGGGTTTTGTGTGTATTTTCTACCAATTTTATAAGCATATGTTGTCTAACTACTCTGTACCACGCTTTTATTTTTAAGTTTCTTATATTATATACTTTTATTTTACATTATTTTGACTTTTATTTTTAACTTTTACAATTATTTTTAAAAAATATTTATAGTAAATATATTAAATAATAGAAAATTTCATTTTCAATTTTTTTTGCAGAGAAAATTGAATTCAATGGCATGCTCTTAAAGTGAATTACTCTCACTTATTTGTTGGTCGAAATTTTTAGCCGTCTTGAAGAAGCTTTTAATATAAGATGCGAAGATAATAGTCTTTCAGATAAGAAGACTATTTTCTATACTGAGGCTTCTACCTATGTCTTTCAGATAAATGCAACAAGCAATTTTACTTTTCTTTTGTTAATTCGATGAAATAAACCTCCAGTTAAATTTAAAAAATAAAAACACAAATAATCTACAAATAATTCACTGAGTATGAAGAAGTGCTTGCTTTAGTATGATTATTTCTAAAATTTCTAATTAAACTTATCTCTTTATAATGGAGGTGATAACGAGAAATATAACATGAATTTAAGACAAAAAAAGAATGACATTGGGATATTGCGGAAAATTGTGATTGCATAAATGAAGAAATTAACAAATCAAAGTTAATTATTTTTAAATTAAATTTAAACGATTAAGGATGATCTAGATAACTCAAATTTACAATGTTAATAATAAAATATCTATACATCAATCATTTTGCAATTAACTTATTTAAAATTACTACTTAAATTCTAATTGCGTTGTGATGTTAATAAAATCAGCATCAATAGTATTTGTGTTACTAAAAATCGTAAAAATTTAATTTAAATATAAAATTAAAATTTGATCGCAGCATAATTACAACTTGAAAAGATATATAATCTAGTTTTTAAAATAATAATTAGCTGTGAAAACCCTTCTGATTTAATAGACTAAAGATATTATTTATTATTCAAAATAAACTCTTTCAATTATTATAAGTATTAGAATACATATTGTTTATGCTGTTAATATTTAATTAAAGCATATAATCAGGTTTTTTTAATTCTATCATCACTTCATTGTTTTTCTTCAATTCCTTTGCGACATTATCCCCATTTATTTTCTTCTTCAGTTTTATAGTCTTCTTCTTTTCAAGAATTATTTAAACATATATACGAAGCTTCTTCTCGTCGTAATAATTTCTACGCTTAAGGAATCGATTTTCTTTAAAGACAATTTTCATAAACTAGTTTGTTTACATAAAAACTCTTTTCAAAATTCTTTTATTTTAATATTAGTACATATTTAATATAACTCGAACATAATTAAGGTTTTTCTTTTGTAATTTAATTATTGTCATTAAGTATATTTGATTAATTTGTTTTCTGTGACTCATGAATATTTCATTACAAGTAAGTAATTTATATTTCTTAATTTAATTTGAATTGAATTAATAAAAATTCAATTTATAAAATTGTTTTGAACCACTTTCAATATAGAATAATTATTATAAAATTTTTTTTATTATTTTAGTTTTTATTATTTTAATCAGTTTAATTTAATATTTAACCAGATTAATTATTTATATTTTTCAGAATCATAAACATTTATATCAATACTACGAATTTGCTTAACTATCTAAGATTCAATTATATTTTACAATCTTTAAAG